CAAACATGGACTACCAGAACCATTCACACCACAAGGTTAATCTGTTTGGCACCACTGCAAATACACAAGCCTGTAAGCTGTCCAGTCTTTCTACAAATAATAGGAATAAAGGATTGTGTCTAACTGTACTGAAATGCACCTTTCACACTCATGACAAGTTAAGCCTGTAACTACATTACCTGTCATTACAAACATTCAGCTATGCCTATTTATGTCACTAGAATGACATAAACGTAGTGGGTGTAGGGGAAACCCCAGTACAATAATCTGAGTGAACTGCAGCAATTCTGCTCCCTTTAAAAGAACAGTTTAAGCTGAATTTTTCAGTCTTCAGTCTTAAGTTAGCAACTAAACATGGAGATGTCAATAACCAAGGCCGAGAGTAATTTAAAAGTAACAGAGCTTAAGCAGCAGGTACTAAATATGTTTCACAAAGTTTTGAGTAATTTTGTGACTTCTACTTACTATTACTGTAGAATTATGTACAATTTCTTAAAGAAAATTCAAAACCGTGAAATAGGAAGCCAACAACTTTGTTTTAGTGAGAGACCGGCAATTCCATTTTGGCTCTCAAACAGGCATTCGGGAAATTAACAGAAGTCAAAGCTGCTTTCAGAATCCAGATTTGGAAGTTCAGCCCTAAATACTCAATTGCTGTATAACACTCTGGAGCTGATTTCACTACTTAAAGTGGTGGTACACAATTAAAGCATATATATACACACACTATTACATCCTGGTTAGCCAATCTTGATCTCTGAAGCACCTAAAAAGCTTTTTTTAAAGATCTTTGAAGACGTGACAAAGCTGGACTGTAGTACACTCAAAACATTTCTCTGACCTTCCTTCCAAACTTGGGCAATGACTACAGTAAGTACCAGTTTCCTCTTTCCCCATGCCTGTTTGGTTTTTTTTTTGGTCATTTGTATAGCTATTCCTTAATTCACCAAGAGTACATGGTAATCGTTTATATATACACACACCTATACAGCACAGAGGTAGTGTAGCATCTCTACACTGATCTATCATCAGGTAATCTGGCCATGACATCTTGGAATGAAACACAAACCGATGTATTTTCCAAAATGCTTTAAGAAAGCTAATTTGGATATCTGCACCACAGCATGCAGCAGGAAAACCATTTATTGTCTGCTCCCACCTACCACCCCATCAGCTTTGAGCAGCAGTTTTGATGTCACTTCACTTTCCTGGTTTCCAACAAAAAAGAAAAACTCAATTCCTAGCTGTGAGAACTTTTCTAAGAAAACTTCCCTGGGTACAAGTCTTTGCTTCATTAACAGAATTACAGAATTGTTTGGGTTGGAAGGTACCTTAAAAACCATCTAGTTCCAACCCTCCCTGATACGGGCAGGGACACATTCCACTAGACCAGGTTGCTCAAAGCCCCATCTAGTCTGGCCTTCAACACTGCCAGGGATGGGGCATCTACAACTTCTCTGGGTAACCTGTTCCAGTGTTTCACCACTCCTCAGCTAAGCCACGAGCCCATGATGCTAGGAACTGCTTTAGGACGCTGTGGTCTGCCACACTACTTGATTTAAAAAGCCTAGCATGCACTTTTTTGCTGACACCAGTATTCCTCAGACTGAGTTAGGGCTCTGATCTTGTCTGAATTTGACTTTCCAGTGATTCCCAACTAGCCTGACCTGACTCTGTTATAGCTCAAACCTATTTTTTCAATATCACATGTTGTACAGACTGCTTGCATCCTAAACCTTGATAATGCCCTTAGTTTACTTTTCAGATTGACATAATGGGTGACTCTGGAACTAATACTGTATTCAGCTTCATCTAGTGCCAAGACTATTTCATTTTGACTCATTTAAGACAAACAAGTGGGGGCAGAGGAAGACAATGATAAAGTATAAAACAGGAGGTTTAAGCCATGAAGCACCCTATCTTTCAGTTACCTGACAGTATTTGAAACAATAGAAGCCACTAAGCTTCAACCAAGACATTGAAGTAAAAAGCTCAATTGCTGAAAGAGATGCAAACTATAAAACCTGAGATAGAAACTCAAATGTCTGGTGGATTTCCTTTTCTGTCTGAAAAAAACCCACAACAAAACAAAACACTTCTCGAGCCATTCTAAAACAGATACTGGACTTAGCACATGCACTACCTCTTCATAAGAAGTCTGTGCCTTGTATTTCACACATTGTAATCCCCTTACACTCCTGAAAAAAAGGAAGTTACTGGAAGAACTTTGGAAGACCATGTAATTATGAAACCATTTGTACAGTCTAGATAGAGCTCAATTTAGCACCCTAATTTTTAGCATTTTGCACTAACCG